GACACGCCCCGTGGGAGGCCCTTGGCTTTAGGAAACACACGTGACGTTATTTAGATGTAAAGAGGCATGAGGTCTGCCACTCTCAAAGGATTCGGGAAAACGACGCGCATGTGTGTCCGTACACACACGCGCTCGGATGTAGGGAGAATGAGTGACACAACAACGTTAACATTTAGGGTGTCTGAGTACGGAGACCACAGCAACTCCTCCAGCTGTTCTCGCAACTCGTCTGCAAGCCAGAAATGAGAAATTACTTCAAAATACGCAAAACAACGCAAAGAAGCACGGCGCCCACGTTGCTAATTAAACGGTCCTCGATCTCTCTCAACAGGCCGGTGACACCGCGGAACAGGACTTCGGGTGCCTGGGAACACCACCCGCGGAGCGTTCTCCCCACGGGCACCTGCTCTGGGCCGCTCGGCTCTCTGGCTCCTGCTGAGAGCCTGACAAAGTCCAGGTGAACATTACGATGATGATTTTCTGTCTCTCTTGGGATAGAATGACAGTCATTTCCCAAGAAAGGTTACCCACGAACAGGCCTATTTCCAAAGCACTCTGCTCATCTGTCAGCTCAGGTACACTTCTCGGTGTTGGCTTCCCAGAGTAATTTCTCTCCCAGAACCACTGGAGTACGGCGAACACTTCAGTCTTGCTTGTGAACTAGTTTTTCTGCTCCTTGGTGCCAATGGATAGAATTCAAACATGGAAAATCAGCTAACTTTCCACTTCCAGTATTTGTATAAACTGTTATTTATCACGGGCAGGGTAAATGGAAATGTAAAGGCAGGTCCTGGACATTTAATTCACGTGAATAATAAACCAGGATGAAAGCCGACAAAACTCAAAGCGACACTGGTCAGAACCTTGGGCTCAGGTGGGTGCACTCCAAGGGCAAACTGCAGGGGCCAGAGTTTGGGCTCTTAGTTTTCAGGCAAAGCAGAAAGAGCTTCCTGTCCCTCGGCGGGTCCTCTCCCGGTGGGTCCTCTCCCTCGGTGGGTCTTGTCCCTCGGGGGGGGGGGGGTCCTCTCCCTCGGTGGGTCCTGTCCCTCGGCGGGTCCTCTCCCGGTGGGTCCTCTCCCTCGGTGGGTCCTGTCCCTCGGGGGGGTCCTCTCCCTCGGCGGGTTCTCAGGGTGCTGTCCAATCAGGCGGATGCATCACCTCCTTGGTTACCTGGTGCCCTGGGAGGCAGCTGGGACCCTCTTGTTTCTCCTTCAGGAAGTGAACATTCACCTTTTCTCAGGTGACCTCTTTTTTAAACCTAAAAATAAAAAAGGTTCCTTCTTCCACGGGATCTTCTGAACAGGCCTCTTTTTGATGACTCCAGCGTTTTGTTCAGAACATCAGCCCAACGCTGAGCCGAGGGTCCTGGCGTCTGGGGCAGAGGCTCCTGGGCGCTGTTTTCTCCTGCGGGAAGCTGAGCCATCTTGCTCCCTGCTTTCCTCCGCCAAGGAGGGCAGTTCTGCGCCTGCCGCAGCTCCGGGAGAGCGGACACAGCTGTCTGCCCTTCTGCTGGTTTTACAAAATAAACCAGCTACACAGTGGCCACCCCGGCTTCTAGAAAACCACCTGCATCTTCACAGTTGCACATGGTGGCCTTTTGGGGACACGGGGCCCTTCCCCCAGTGGGCCCCGCAGCACAGGCTATTCCTTCTGGCCCTGGGGTGCCTCCTCCCCCACTTCCACTTGTGTGCCTGGGGTGTGAGCCTCCAGACTTGCCACCCTCGGGGGAGATGGCCACAGTCCCCATACCGGGCACTGGTCACTTTCCTCTCTCTGCTCTACGTTATGGGCGGCCTCGGACAGAATCCAGGCCGCGGCCACACTGCAGATCCTGACCTGAACGTCACCGTGGCGTGGGGAGTCCTGCATGGAGCCTCCTGGCGGGTCCACCACCACATGGAACGCCCTGGGAGGGGGAGCCCCTGTCCCGTGGCACGTGGGCCTCATTTCAGTGATGTTACTTTGGTAGACAGGAAGAGCTCGCTGGTGTCAGCGACAGAATTCCTCTGCTTTCTTAGGGAACGCAGAGATTCTGGAATCGTCTTTCATTGGAGGTTCAAAAGCAAATTTAAAAAATAAAACTAAGATGAGACTCCTGAGCTCATAAGCACAGAACCGATGTCCAGAAGCAGCCTGCAAGGCAGCTGTGGGTACTCGGAGCCTGACTGCTGTATTTACAACAAGCAAGGGCTGGGGTTCATAGGGAGCCAGGAGCGAGGGTCCTTCATCTGATGAATCTCAGGGACACGGATTCACCAGTGCTGGCTCACAGAGCACTGGGCACACTCCAGCACAGACGCCGTCCGCCAGGGCCACGGGCACCGCCCTGCGCAGGGAGGCTCCCTGGAAGGGGCTCGCTGACACCTTCAGGACACGTCTCTGGCCTGAATGTTTTTTCCGCAGCAATAGCTCGGCTGGCATTGCAGCGTCTTTGAAATAACAACACTGCCTGTCAGAGAAGGCTCGGCTTTGTATTTTCTCCGTAAAGGTCAAATCTCTTGACCTTTTAATGACAACATCACAGAACAAGCTGTCTACTCAGTTCCCCTCTGCTGCTGTGTCTTCTGCAGCCTCGGTGGCATCTGGACTTCGAGGGCTTTCTTTCGTTGGCGTGTGGTCTTTCTGCTCAGTGTGGCACCAGGAGGTCAGGGTGACGTCCTGGCGGCTGCCAAAGTGCTCCCTGCACCCGAGGTTCAGAGCCAACCCTGCCGCTGAGCCGGTGGCCTGGCATAGGGACTCGGGGAAACCGAGCCTGCCCAAGGACCAGGGCTGTCCTGGTCCATCTCTGGGCCCTCGGCTGTCTCCTGCTTTGGGACGAAGAGTCTGCTGTTCAGTCCTGAGGCCACGGGCCTCTGACCTCCGCCAGGCTGTCCTCTGCCTTGCCGCACCTCCTGTCCATCCACACGTTTCCAGCGTCCTCCGTGTCCGGGTCCCCCCGCCTCTGCGGGCCTCGGCCTCAGAAATCCTGGAGTGGCTGAGGTCTCTCCCTTCCTTCTGACCACAGCTCTCCCCGAACAGGTCCTTCCCACGAAACCTCCAGCATCACGAGCCCAGTCCATGATTTCTGCTTCTGTCTGTGACTTATGGGGCCATTTCTTCACAGTCAGAGGCAACGGATTCTCTCTTTTCATTTTAACTAGCACTCAGCTAAAAACCAAACAGAAGCCTCCAGGGATAAATGAATACACGGACACGGCTCGTGGCTGGACGGCGGTGTGGCCGTGGCCCGCAGGGAGCAGCGGCCGTTCTCGGCGGCCGGGGCCGCGTCACGCTCCTGCTTCCCGCGTCTGAGTTGGGGCTGCAGTGTCCGCGAACAGTGGAAGACTATGCAAGTCAGCGATTCCCCCCGAAAGTGAGGTGGGTAACAGGGAAAGGATGTCTGGGGGGACCTGGCTGCGTCTCGGCTCTCTGGGAAGTGGGTTCTGCTGAACACTCGAGCGGGGTCCGCACGTGTCTACCCCGTTCCTGCAGAGAAACGAAGCTGCGTGGAGGACGCCGTGTGTGCCTCCTGACGGACAGGAAAGGGACACGGGAAAAGCCCTGCCGGACGCGAGCCGGAGCCCGTCCGTAGCATCTCGCGTCACCGTCCCTCCCCCACCCCGAACCAGGGACCCAGGAGAACCCTCAGTGCCAAGGCCGGAGAACAAGAAGGGGGGGGGGCGGGCGCCTAACCCTGCTGCTTGCAGTGATGACTCGGGAGAGAGTCAACTGACCTGATTCCTTTCAGTTTTCCTTCAGTCTGTGCTGACAATGCCTTGGGAACAGAAAATCCATGGGCTGACCAGCGGCGATTTTATTCTTGGAGTCGAGGACACGTAAGCACATTCGGTGAGGAAGCCGCTGCTCTAAGAATAAAGCTGTGGCCCCCAGTCAGGACCTCAGCCACCCAGGAGAGTCCCCTCGGCCTGCTCACCGGGCACCCCCACCGGGCACCTGTCAGGAGACAGACTGGGCCGCAGCAACACAGTGAACACTCGGACACCGACTGCGCAGTGACGCTGCCCTGTCCTGGGAGCAGAGGCCCCGCGGTGACGGCCTGCCTCCGGCGGGCACGCTGGCCGAGCGGAAGGCACCGATCCAGCTCCCTTCAGACTGGGGTGCAGGGAAGAGCAGCCCCGGAGGCACTCACAGCGGCAGGCGGCGTGAGCGAGGAGGCCGATGTCCTAAAGACGCGGCTGATCTCCAGAGACGTGAACGTTAGGAAAGGCAGCCGAGGCCGCAGCCGGCAGGGAGCTGGCGTGCGGCAGTCGCCGAGGGGCCGCCGAGGTGCAGCAGGTAGGACACAGATCCAGGAGCTCGAACCCTGGTTCTACCACCTGCCAGAGGTGTGTCCTCAGGCGAGTTACTCGGCCTCTCTGAGCCTCAGTTTCTTCAACTGGAAATAACAGTATCTGCCTGCGGAGCTATTATAAGGGTCAAATGAACTAATCTATCTGTAAAGCCCCCAGAACAAGGCCTGGTGCACAGTATTTGTTAAATAACGAAGAATGTGGGGGTCTCAGGCAGAATCTGAATAAAGGGGGCAATGCCAGCAATGGTGGCGGACACATGCGCCTTGTGGGGGGGCTGCGGCCGATGGAGAGCTGCACCCAGGGCCTGCCAATGAGCTATGCTTCGGGTGCAAGGCAAACCCGGGAAAGCTGGAGATGGCTGAGAAGTCCGGCCAAGGACTCCGAGCAAGAACACGAGTCCATGAAACCCAAACCCAAGCTGACCTGCCCTGGCTCTCTAATAGTTTTAGGGGGCAGGGGTCGCTTGGCAATTGCCCCAGGGAGTCCTGGTGGGCACAGGCTCCCCCTCCCCCGCCCCCCGCCTGGTCTGCCCTTACTCTCCAAGTCAGCAGGCCACAGAACACAGGGCAAGGCAGGCACCTGGCCGTTGTTCCCACTCTGCAGAAACCAGGGGTCACGGCTTCTGCTCTCCGGAAAAGGGGGGTGGGTGGGCCACCTGCAGGATTTGGGGTAGCAGGGCTCAGGACAGGGGCTGTGCCCCCGACTCACCACTTTGGGCTTGAAGGGCGGCTGGATCTCCCTGTTCTCCAGCTTCTCCCAGTCGATCCTCCGGAAGAAGGCGTGTTCCCGCACGTCCCGCTCGCCCTCCGGCCCGCAGCCCAGCCGCTTGCCGGGGTGTTTGGTCATCAGCTGGAAGGCAGGAGGAAGGGACGTGTGACCAGGGCTGAGAATAACGTATGCTTGAAATTTGCCGAGAAAAGGATGTAAGTGTTCTGCCTCCAGAAAGAGAGGGGAAAAGTAACTGTGGGAGGTGATGGATAAGTTAGCCTGACCGGGGGAATCCTTTCGTAATGTAGTCTTTCCTCGGTGTCAGCAGGGGGTTGGCTCCAGGACCCCTCGGGGACCCCAAATCACAGGTGCTCAAGTCCCTTATGTATTAAATGGTACAGTATTTGCATAAAACCTATGCATATCCTCCTGTGCACTTTAAATCATCTCTGGATTACTTATAACACCTGATACAATGTAACTGCTGTGTAAATAGCTGTTATACTGTATGGTGCAGGGACTAATGACAAGAAAAAGGCCTGTACAAGTTCAGTACAGACACAACATCGTAAGCCTAACTCCAGAGTACACGTCAGCAACCACGTAACTCTTTTGGGGGGGAGTATTTTCTATCTGTGGTTGGTTGGATCCATGGATATGGAACCCGTGGATACGAAGGGCCCACTGCACACATGTATCAAATCATCATGTTGTCACTTTAAATATATCACAGTTTTGCCCGGCTGGTGTGGCTCAGTGGCTTGAGTGTTCTCCCATGGACTGAGAGGTCCCGGTTTGATTCCAGGTCAGGGCACATACTGGGGTTGTGAACTTGATCCCCAGTAGGGGGCGTGCAGGAGACAGCTGATTGATGTTTCTCACATTGTTTCTGTCTCTCTCCCTTCCTTTCTCTCTAAAAAAAATTCAATAAAATATTTTAAATATATTACAATTTTACTTGTCAGTTATACCTCAATAAAGCTGAAAAAAAAAAGCAGAACATTTGTCTGTACGTTCCTCAAAACACATGACCCAGAAGGTTCATGGCAGCTTGTTTGTACAGGCCCACACTAAAGAGGAGGCACCCCAGACACCCACCAGCAGCGGGGTACACAAACAGACTGGTAGGTGCACACGACGGACACTGCACGGCAGTGCGGAGGGCGGACGTCAACCACACCCGCAATGCGGGGAACTCGCACCATCACAATGCCGGGGGGGAAAGCAGGCCCAGGGAGCACCCGCTGCAAGCTCCCCTTGCCCAGTTCAAGCCGGGCGCGGTGCATGCCTGCAATGAGGGGGGAGCAGCTGCGGGGCGGGAGAGGTTGGCTCCTTGGGTCTGGCCACGAGCAGTTACAGGGGAAGTTCATTTTGTGACAGTTCACTGATCTGTGCACTGATGACTGGTGCCCTTTTTCATACATAAATTACCTCTCAAAAACACAGAAATGAACGAAGAGCTGACCAAGGCGTACCAAACGAGGCAACAGAGGAGAACCAGCATGTTCAAAGGGTCTGCGATCACTTCCGGTACCCCGCCACAGTGTCATGAGGGGATGGGGAACTAAAGTGGACTGGCCCGAATTCCCGGGAGAGGAGTGTCAGTCCCTTTTCCAGGCTCCCCTCTCCCCACTACACCCTGCAGGTCACCGGCCGGCCCCTGATGGCCCAGGGCAGTGGCGCGGTCTCTGTGCCCTCTTGCTGAGAAGTGTGGGGAAGATTTCCCTCGTCCACCCTTTTGTTCTGTGATCATAAGAGAAATCCAAACCCACTTACTCCTTTGCAGATCGAAACGGCCTCCTTGGACAAGGACTTTGGGTAAGAAACATTGTGCTCCATTATTGACTGAAACAGTTCGTCTTCATCCTCGCCATCAAACGGAGGCTGTTCCGGGAAAGAGAAAGATGGCAAAACATTTAGGCAGCATGATTTATGAACGGGGCACCTGAAGAGCCAACGCGACGCCAGGGGACACTGCAGGCTGCAGCGTTAGCGCGGTTTGCTCGCGGGTCTATTCGATTATCTTCTGGGAGGTTCCAGGTGGTGTGTTTTCAGCTTTTCCTCTGTTCCTTTAATTATGTCGCCCTGTGCAACCCAAAACAATCTCTAAGAAAAATCGTTATTTGAGTGATTTGCAAATAAATAATAATTAATCCATTAATCTTGTAATGATGTGTGAAAATTTAAGTATGATCAAGTTAGGTTACAGATGGCTTTGTGTTCAGAAGGTGGGGGTGGGGTGCAGAATGCTGATGCCCTAGCTCCACCACCTGCTGGCTGGTTGTCCAGAGCCAAGGGACTTGCCTCTTTATGACACAGTTTTCCAATCTGTAAAATGGGGTTCCCTGGTGAGTCTGTAAATCACCTGACATTGTGTCTTGGACCCAGTATGGGCCCAATGGAGGGGGCTTAGCAATACTAGCATTGTTATTAAGGTCAACGGGTTGTCTTTGGGGGGGCTGCTAGGATCTTCAGGAGGAACAAGTGAGACCTTCAGCAGGACTTCAATCCTGAGATTAGCAAATACCTGTCACTCTGGACCACCCACAGCATCAGGGGGCTTAGGGAAAACCGCTTAATGTTCCGCTTTAACTTAGCTAACCTTGACAGCCTGCAAAGGGCAGACCAGGGTCAGCCCTCGTACAGTATCTTGTGTCTTCCTTCTCATCAAAAGGACGACTTACAGTCACTTTGGCTGATATGGTCGGGCTTAGATAATGACAGAGTCTGGCTTAAATATAGACTATATCATGGACCAAAGATGACCGTGCGGTCATCAGTAGGGCATCTGTCTCTTCTTATCAAACATTTCCCCGAGTAACAGAGAGCACTGAACTGAGCAGAGCGCTCCCCTAACCACCACTCACAAACCATGCAACCTGGTCATCTGGCCCATCTTCCTCCTCCACCCCAACGCCAGCCCCGAACAGGATCCGGGAGTGAGGTCAGCACACGGGAGCCAGCCGGGCAGGGAAAGAGGCCGATGTTGGGACCAGGTATTGGGTGACTGGTACCGCTCATGCTATTTTTTTTTTTTTTTGGTTTAAAAATATAAATAAATAGGCCTACTTTCTGGTTGTAAATGCCTGGTGTTAAGAATGTCTAATTTGGCCCTGGCTGGTTTGGCTCAGCGGTCAGAGCATCAGCCCTCGGACCAAAGAGTCACGCGTTCTGTTCCGGTCAAGTTCACCTACCTAGGTTGCGGCTCAGTCCCCGGCCCTGGTCAGGTCACGCGGGAGGCAACCAGTCGTCACTCTCTCATGTTGATGTTTCTCTCTCCCTCCCTCCCTCCCTATCTGAAGATAAATGGAAAAATATCCTCGGGTGAGGATTTGAAAAAAAAGAATGTCTCATTTGTGGAAGCACGCAGCTGGGTAAGAACTAAAATCGTCCTGCCTGTGAATGACGCAGCCGCCTGGGGAGTTCCCGCGGGCAGAAGTATCACGGCACCTGGGATGCCCGTCAGGCAAGTCCGTTGGGGGCTGACACCCACTGGGACGTGCAGGCTGCAGTGGTCAGCGGGGTCGGCAGGGCGGGCAGTGTGTGGGTGTGGCTGCACCCGGCAAGGGCTGTGGTGGAGGCCAGTCCCATAGTCCATCCCAGAGTCTCCTCCCCTGACAGCACGCAGCCTACTTCTTCCAGCCATCTGCTATGTGACACCCACGGAACCTCTCATCTCCCCTTAGAAGCGATCCACATATGGGGCTGAGTGTTGGCCAAGGAGATTTTCACAACTAAAGCAAATGTGTGGTTTCTGCTTAGGGCTGCAAACGGCACACCCCCGGGGGCCCCCCGTGCTCTGAATCTGCTCTGTGTATGTGCCTGGCGATGTCACAGAGCCCTGGGCGTGAGCAGGGCACAGGCTCTGCTTCTGGACAACCAATCGCCAATCACAGCATGGCCCCTTGGGCCGCGGGTTAGGGCTAAGCTACATAATTTGTGGGTCCCTCAGAGCCAAATAAAAACGTGGGGTCCCTTATTAGATAATTATGAAGAATGTCAAGGTGGCGACAGCAGAGCACTAAAGCAAATGTCTGAGCAGAGGCCCCTTGTGTGACTGCAAAGGTGGTCAAAGGGGATTGGCTGGTAGACTTGGCTGAACAGTGACAGACACCAGGGAGATCCAATCAGCCTCCGTGGTGATGCTCAGTACCAGCTACAGAACACGACAGGGGCTGAGCCCAGATGGTCCAAGCCACAGGCCCAAGAGAACCTTTCTCCAAAGAAAAACTCACGCAAACCCTCCCCAGGGGTATTTCTCAGGTGAGGCAGTGAGCTGATCCTTCTCATTTAAAAAAAATTTTTTTTTTCTTTATTGATTTTTAGAGAGGATGGGAGAGGGAAAGAGAGAGAGACATCAATGAGAGAGAACATCGACTGGCCACCTCCCGCACACCTCGAACTGGGGATCAGGCCCACAACCCGGGCATGTGTCCTGATAGGGGATCAAACTGGCGACCCTTGGTGCACAGGTTGACATAACCACTGAGCCACACTGGCTGGGCACTGAAACTTCTTATTTGAAGATGGTCAGGTCAAGGCCACTGAAGCCTTTCTCCCCCACCTCACGCCTCTGCCACCTGCCCGTTTGTCTCATGGCATGGGAACCAGCCGTGCTCAGGTGAGCTTCCCCACATATGCTAATTTCCGAAATGGATACTGCTGTGTCAGGGACCAGGCCTGGCCTACTGCAGGGCAAAGGAAGATTTTTACTACGAAGTACCCTGAGGGCAGGATATCTGGCCCTTGACATACCCAGGGAGGATTCCTTAGACCATTAACCCTATAGGGTATACCTAGGTCAAAGTTTGCACCCTATATCCCTTTCTGGAGATTTGCACTAATACATTTTAAAGGCCCTGAGAAGTCCTGCAGTAAGGAAAGCTGTTTAACCCAAAGTAAATCATTCCAGTGTGGGGCTGGAAGGCCCCTCAGAGGCCCCTTAGGCTCATCTGTTGCAATAAAATTCCCCGTGTCCCATCCCTGTGTGGCCCCAAGGATTGGGGCTTCTCCTGTGAGCTCACCCTGGGGAGGATCAGGCCCCTACCCCTTAAGTGTGTTATCACCGCTGTGAGTCTATACCGCCCGATACAGAATGACCAGCACGGAGGGGCAGCAGGGATGACAGACGCAGTCACCTTTCTTCCTCAGGCTCATGCTCCTCTGTGCCAGGCACACTGTGGTGTGCTTAGCAGGCTGCACTCACTCCATCCTCAGAACACCCTGTGATGCAGGTGCTATTAATCCCATTTCACAGTGAGGTCACTGAGGTTCTATTTAGTGCGTTGGCCAGGGTTAGAGCTGGGTGTTTAAGAACCGGGACTCAAGCCCAGGCACCCTGACTGGGGCTGGGGACCAAACCTGCAACCCAGGTACAGTATGTGCTCTTGAACAGGAATCGAACCTGTGACCCTTCAGTCCATAGGCTGATGCTCTAACCATTGAGCAGCACCGGCCAGGGCTCGTTCCAGTAAACTTTAAAAGCCTGACTCATATCCTGCACAACAGATAGTGAGTGGTGAGTTCTGAGAATCAAGGCGGCGGGGCGGGGGCAGTTGTCGTGGCCTGAGATGTTTCCAGTCTCTGCGTGGTGAGCGGCTGCCTCTAGACTAGAGACCTGGTGTGACTTCCCAGCCTGAATCTGGAGGTTTCTCTCTTGCTTCTGCCACACGGCCCCTGTGGGTCGGTGGAGAGCGCCACCTCCGTCCTGTGGTGGCAGAGTTGGAACAGGAGCTCTGGGGCGTCAAATTCTGCACCATGGAGCACGGACACCCAGATCTCACTGGTCAGAACTAGTCCACACCCCACCTGGTCACGAGTGAGCCAGGGGGTAGAAGGGAGGAAGACCCCAAACACCTGGGACAGCAGCAGTGACCAGCACTTCTGGAAACCCTCCCCAGGGCCCTATTTTAAATAGAAATGATGTATTCTTGGGGGAGGGGAAGTCCATGAAAGTAGCACCCCCATCCCTCTTACCTAAATGCAACCATTGCTCTTTATTTTCCTGTGCACCCCGTGGCTTTTCATGTGATTTGCAAATGATCGTGCACAGTTTGGGGTCCTTTGTTTTTCACTTGCTGTCGCAAACACATTTCCTCCGTAGCTCCCAGTGTTCCCAGTCGGATCCACGCCACTGGGGTGAGACGTCACTGTAGACTGACTCATTTGTTCACGGCTCGGTTAAGACTGCTCCCAGCACTAACAGATGCTACTGTAAGCAACTCTGTGTGCACCATCTTTGTCTTCTCTGAATTACTTCCTAGAATAATTTCCCAGGTGTGGGATTATGCAGCCAAAGGACGTGGACATGTTCATGGCTCTCCTTAAGCCTCTCCGGATCACCCTGGAGTGTTCCTGCAGGCAACTGCTCTCAGGCCTTGATGCTGAAGGTGGTCAATGCTCAAAAGTTATCACTACATTCACTTTCCTTCCTAGACAGGCCAAGTGTGGTGCCCGGGGCCAGCGGGGGGGATGTGTTGCCGAGGTCCTTAGGACATGACCGTTCTGGCTTGCCTCTCTAGCCTCTCTCCCCTGTTCCCATGATTATTTTTTAAATGTCTACAAATCTGGACTCAGTGTTTCGAGAGGAGCTCAAGTCCTGGGGTGGGGGTGCCCTCCTGGGCAATATGTAATCAGTGAATTTTAAAAAGACAGGTGAGGGATGAGGGATCCTTCTTTCCAAAACTTATTCCAAAATCACTCAAAGTGGTGGCTGGACCCCTGCCACCTTCACTTACAGGTCACTGATGACCGGGAGGGGCAGGGGAGAAGTCCAGGACAGTGCAGCCTCACGTCCTGGGATAAAGCACCCAGTGCTGACTCACCAGGAATGAAGACCGAGCACTAATAACCCTGGCGGGAAAGGACCCGAGAAAGAGAGGGCAGGTCCCTGTAGGATGAAGCCCCGCGAGCGCGTCCAGCCGCAACAGGCTCATTAGAGGGCTGGGTAAATACTATTTATGCCCGGAAGTAGTCGTATTTGTCGAGCAATCCAGGAACGGAAGAACGACTTGGGCTGTTTCTGCTGAACGGCCCCCCTGGCCGCTGACAATAAATAAAGCAAATGAGAAGGAAATGGCAATGAACTGTTTTTTCTTGCTCATCTTCAGCTCTCTCGATTAAAGAAGACAAATTTAGACCGCAACCCCATCAGCAACTTTATAATTAGTCTTCCTCTTCAATAATGGTATCCGCGCCTCTGCTGGGTCTCTGCCGCTCCTGAGCTTTTCGGGGAGAGGCGTGGGCAACACACACACAGCCTTGATGATCCTTTTTGGGCTGAGTCACAGCCCAGGAATACATCTCCATGGGCACCAAGTCAGAGAGGAAAACTAAGAAAGGGGTGTCTGAAATGAACACGTGGTGTTGGTGGCAGGCACTGTGAAGTTTTGGGGAATAGTGACCGTGTCTTCCATTGTGTCCAGACATGGGCTGCCTTCAGGGTGTCCTAGTTAGAAGGGTCACCCTTTTCAACAGAGGTGATAAAAACTTCCAGAGATCAAGCAAGGCAGGCTAACCGACCCTGAGAGACAGGACGCAAAATCACGGAAAGGGGCCAGAACGTCTGTGCAAACACTGGGTGTGGCAAGGGCCCGTGCTCTCCTTGGAGGCACGAGGAAGGACCAGTCTACAGATGAGACAGGACTTCAAAATGCACCCCCAGGGGACCTCCCTGAAGGAACGCAGCGTCTTCTGAGCTCCCTGCAGAATGCAGACACGGGAAGGCTCGAGGAGAAGGGAGATGGGGGTTGGGCGACTTCGCTGCGGGCCTGGGTCCTGCAGTGCTGGTCTCCTGCTGGCCAAGGAGACAGCTCCTCTGACCTCTGTGACGTGCCCCTGGAGACAGATGGCACTCCCACCCTCCCAGTACGGACGTCCTGGGATAAAGCACCCAGTGCTGATTCACCAGCAATGAAGACCGAGCATGAATAACCCTGGCAGGAAGGGGCATGAGAAAGAGAGGGCAGGCCCCTGTAGGATGAAGACCCGAGAGCGCTTCCAGCCGCAACAGGCTCATTGGAGTGCTGGGCAAATACTCCGATTGCTGGGACATGCAGATGAGCCTCTTCCTGAAAGCAGGGTTCGTTTCCCACTCGAGTCAGACACTCGAGTGGGATCAAGGAGGGAACTCAGAGTGCTGTGCTCTCAGGAGCAGCACGGGCCAGGGGGCTGGCCCTTCAGTCACGGCTCACTGTCAACATTCTCACGGGGGACAGGAGCTCCAGGAGCCCGCAACTGGTGTTTTGCTGGCTGTGGTCTCCCTGACAGTTGTTCTGTATGACCTGCTTTTCCATGTTTACAAATGGAAGTATTTGGCCTAAAACGCACATTTAATTGGGAACAACAACTGAAATAATACACAAGCCACCTTGTAAAACATCATTCAAGTCTTAATATCGCTGAGAAATAATGAGCAAATGTAGGTGAGTACCTCATACCTTTTAATATCTAAAAGGCTACTTTCATATTAAAAGATGTGAGATACATTGAAGGACATAAAGGAGAGGTTTCCAATGGCCTCCCACCCCGACTGAAGGCCAATGGTCTTGCGGTGATCTCCATGCATACGTGACGGTGGTCCCCTTCCTCTCTGACCTCAGACCCCCTCCTTCTCTAGCCTCTTCCTTCCTCTTTAGCTTCCCTACTCTGCTCCGACCACACTGGCAGCTCCCCTTCCGTGGCTTAAACCTGGCAACATAATCCCACCCCAGGGCCTTTGCACTTGCTGTTCCCTCTGCCTGGAATGCTTTTCCCCGAGATTTGCACATTGACATTCCCTCATTTCCTTCTCGTCTTAACTTTATTTCTTTGGGGGTGGCTCTGCTGCTCAACACAAGCATTTCTTTCCATTCTCCGTACTCAGGCTCTTAGCTATGGAGGGTCCAGCTCCTTGTCACCTGTCCTTGAGTGCTGGCAACTATGAAAAGCTGCCATGACAGAACCATTTTTAGGTGTAATGGAGACACCTGGTAGATGCTCACCACACCTGCTTCCCTTTGCCGGGCTCACAGGTCCACGCTACTTCCAGCCCTCTGTCCTCCAGGGGCCACACAGCTGGTGGGACGTAGGCAGGAGTGACAGGAGCTACCTCTAGGCCTGGCCGCCAGAACGTTCGTGCGGCTGCCCCTGCTCATTGGCCGGCTAGGTAATGAGGGGTCAGTGGAGGAATCGAGGCCCTAAATGGATGGAAGAAGCCTGGGTCCCTGAATAACCATGTGGATTTGTGCTCCCCTCCTCCCACTACCTAGGACTGTGCGAGTGTGAAATAAGCGTGCGTTGTGTGTTAAGCCACCGAGGTTTTGAGGTGTCTTGTTAAAACAGCTAGTGTCACTTATTCCAGTACAGGTATTAAGGCCATTACATTAGACAGTCCCACGCAATACACTCGGTTATCCGCTATACGTCACATTCCCGGGAGAAACCAGATCTGCCCTTTCTTGGCTGAAGTTCGGTCTCACTGGACTCTTGTGAAAGTTCCAAGGAACCGCCAGGGGCGCGGTGGGGGGAGAAGGGGAGGAGCTGTGAAAACCCTCCTCCAGGGACCCCGAGTCCACAGCGGCGGCACGGGGTGGTTTCTGCAGACAAACGCGCAGGGAACATCACCCCGTGCTGAGGCGCTGCAGAACGACAGAGGCCCCCGTTGTCACCACCGCGCGGGGGGCTTTTGTGTATAATGTGATAGCTGTACCTTGTTTACACTCCAGGGTGTATCTTTCAGTGCAGATTTCTGTGACCAAAAGATCATTTCTGTACACACTGAGTATCATCCTCTCGAGGGGCAGTTTCTCCATCCTTCCCTGGGTCAAGGAAGCCGGGCCAGCACCAGCAATACCACTGCCAGGTCCTGCCCCTCCAACGGCGACAAGCAAGCATGAAAACACAGTGAGACATTACCTGCCCAGCCAGCATTTCATATAACAGGACTCCATAGGCCCACCAGTCCACGGACTTCCCGTACGGCTGATAGGCGATGATCTGTGTGGAAACAAAGAGAGCAATTACGTTCAGCCGCGCATCAGAAAGCCTGTGTCAGGGCCGATAAGGCAAGCACGAAGACATTTACAGTCTGCAAACGAGGGAGAGATGATATCTGTCTTCAATTTCTGCACCAGGGAAGAGCGTCCTGCAGGTCCGGCACCCCGAGAACGGTCGCCCCACAATTCACTGCCCGAAACCTGTTTGGAACTCGCCTTCTGAATCCCCGAGACCCCACAGCGCTGTCTGAGGTCCATCTCATGACCTGGAGGCGGGTTTCCTTTTTGGAAAGAGCAGAGGTCGTTCAAAGCTAAGGTCTGATAAATAAGATAAACTATGCTAAGCAACAGAATTCCACTAACTGCGATGCAGACGACGATCATTATCATAACAACAAAGAAGAGGAGGGTCACACTGGCAGCAAACGACTTGTCTGGCGTTGCACACGGAGGGACAGTGCTATCTTCTGAACAGTGGAGGTTGCAAAATGCTTTAAACGAGCCCTGGCCGGTTTGGCTCAGCGGTTAGAGCGTCGGCCTGCGGTCCAGAGAGACCCAGGTTCGATTCCCGCTAAGGGCACATACCTCGGTTGCAGTTTGTCCCCGGCCCTGGTTGGTCGTGTGGGTGGCAGCCACTCGATGTGTCCCTTTCACGTCGATGTCTCTCTCTCTCTCTCTTCCTCCCACTCTATCTGAACAAAAAATGGAAAAGTGTCCTCGGGTGAGGGAAAAAACAAAACAAAATGCTTTATTATTATTATTTTTTTTATCCTCACCTGAGGACATTTTTCGATATTTTGTTCAGATAGAGTGGGAGGGAGAGAGAGAGAGAGAAACATGGACGTGAAAGGGACACATCGAGTGGCTGCCACCCACACGCCCAACCAGGGCCGGGGACAAACTGCAACCGAGGTACGTGCCCTTAGCGGGAACCGAACCCGGGTCTCTCCGGACCGCAGGCCGACGCTCTAACCGCTGAGCCAAACCGGCCAGGGCCAAAACAAAATGCTTTAAACGAGACATAAAGTGTAACAATCACATGTACTAGTCGGACCTGGTCCGATCTTGATTCTAAGCAACGAGCTGTGAAAAAGAAAGTGGGAAAATGTAAACGTGGTCTCGACCTTGGGGACACTGAGGGATTGCTGCTGGCACGGCCGGAAAGGACACGTGCTACGGTGATAGAGTGTCCTTTCCCACCAGAAACGAACGTAGTTCGAGTGAAATGTGTGAGAGGTGAAGGATTTACGGGTAAAGCGACACCTTAGATTTGTTTCAAATACTTCAGGAAAACAGGTGGGGGAAGGAAGAGACGAAAAGAGTTGGCAACACGTGGGCAGCCACTGAGGCTGGGTGACGGGCCCAGGGGCCCCTCACCTGTCCACCCTCTCCCTCTGTGCCTTCCGGAGCCTAATGAGCCCACAGCATCCCCACCGGCGTATTACACCGGCTTCGCTGCCTCTCGGGCGGGCTGTGTACCCAACAGGCGGTCCCCGGCCCGTGGATCACACCCCGATTCCAGGGGAAGACATACTAACAGGCACTCAGCACGACTATTCTGCCGCGTTGCATGGGAATTCGACTTTGAAATGTTCCGGGGTATTTTTTAATTGGCCCACGACGCCTAATTAAATGTCCTGGGACAGACGCTTCCTGCCCGTCTGCCCGTCGCGTTCCTTCCGTGCCCGTGGAGCGACAGGCACAGGCTCCGGGGCTCCCAACGCCGGGGCGGGCGAGGACAACCGGGTCGCGTTCGGATTCGGGGCTCTGTGGCTCATTTCCTTGACAAAAAGATGAGAAAGGGACCCACGGGAGGCCTTCATTTCTTTTTCAAACTGCATTTGTTCTTTTCTGAAAACTTCGAAAACACACACAGAAACCACCAAAAAACCCCACCGAGATGAGTCTCCAGTCTCGTACCCAGTGACCTGACATGCTGTCCCCCTAGTCCCCAGACAGCCGAGCGCCGGACCAAAGCCTCTCTGGGCCAAGTAGAAGCTCCACAAAGACCGTCTGTGGGGAAGGGACGTGCTCCCGCAGGGCACTGTGCATCCGTCCGCTGCTCTCCACGCTTTCTGTATCCTCTGGTGGGACAGGAATGATCCCTGTTCCCATCTCACAGGCGAGGAAACTGAGGGGCGAGACGTTTGGGAGACTTGCCCGAAGCCCATTGGTTAACAGGTGGTGCTCTATTCGACCCACTGGCTTTAGAAATACGATCTGTGGCTTGCAGATACGTGTAATTACTCCCACTGGGATGAATAAAATATGAATCGAGGGGTTTTGAGGATTAGAGCGGTTTGAAATCGTTTCAGTTTCGTGACGCTATGTCAAGAGCGCGTACATACGATTCGTTCTTCTAAGTCTAGTCCGAGTGGTCCCTGTGATCCGTTTTCCACAGTCGGCGTTTCCCACACGGGCTGAGGTCACGGTGCCGGGCGAACTGTGACGCCGGGACTGTGGGGCTGACCGGGGCGGCCACGCTTCATTTCCCACCCAGCAGTCTACGAATATCCACACCGTCTTACCAAGCAGACCCTCTGCGTGGGTGGTGGAACATGCTACCCAAATTCAGAAAGCTGGAGGAAGTCAAGGGCATGGAAACACTGTATTTAGTCAGGATGATTCACGAATCCTAAAAGCCGGGGCCACCCAAAGTGGTGGATTTTTTCTTTTTTCTTTTTGACTTTATCAACTTTCGGCCAACTTGCTTTTCACTTTCAATTCCCACAGCATTAAACTCCACGACGGCTGCTGATAACACCCTCTCCTCCGCACGCCAAGGGCTTGTTTGCTTGGTGACTGCATCCGCCAGTCCCCGGGCAGCCAGCTCAGCCACGGCCGAGAAGGCAGGGAAGTCCCTCTGCTCCGAGAACCCACCTGGCTCCCACGAGGCCCAGGCCCAGAGGCTGCGGAACGCACAGGGAGGCTCTCTGGCATCTGTCCTCATTGGAGCAGGGCTCTCGGGCAACTGTGGGCCAAAGGAGCCAAGCCTGGGGGGGCGGGGGGGCTGCCTGACATTCTAAAACCCCAGGCAAGGGGTTGCGATGGCAATTTGGTTTCTCACAGCAGAGAAACTCACAAAAGGAGAGGCTGACTTGGCAGGAGGGGCTCGGGTTGGCAGACCCCCTGGAGCACATGGGAGGTTGAACTTGAGCTTCAAAGACAGCTCCCCAGCCGGGCCACTGCCATTCAGTTTTACGGCTATCTGCCATTAGGATCATTATTATTGTACTAATACGAGCTCACTGCCTGGGGGGGCGTGTCAGGATGTTATAAACGGCTGCCTGTCTTACAAAAGTGCGCTCTGAATGGGCTTTCTCTCAGCCTGGGCACGGGACCAGGGACAAAAGGGGCCGGGGGCAGCCCTGCAGCTCTTCCCAGGCCCAAGGCTCTCAGGCCACCCAGCCTTCCACCCTCAGCCAGGGCTACACATCAGAAGGGCTCCCCGAGGACGGGGCTTCAGCAGTTCTGAAAGAAGGGCAGAACGGTGAGGTCCGAGATGCTGCTGAGAAGGAAACAACGCCCGTAGCAATGTCGCCGTGATGCCCACCACCCGCCAGGCCCTCTCGTTCTGTTAGCTCATTCAGCCCTCACACGACCTGGCCAGGTAGGGGCATCCCACTCCAAAGGTGAGGAAGCAAGGCACAGAGAGGTCACGCAGCTCGCCCGGGCCACACAGCGAGTATGTAGCAGCACTGAGATTTGAACCCTGGTGGTCTGGCCTTGGCATCCACACTTGGTTCATCAGCTCTTGGCCCCCAGTGTGGTTCCCAAGACAGCTGCGGTGAGAACTGGCCCACCTGAGGTGACTTTTGAGAAAAAGAGGGTTCAAACGCTTAACAGGATCAGAGCAGCCAGGAGGCCGACTTCACTCAGGGACGCTGGCTCTGGAGGCTTCGTCTTGAAGGGCCCACGAGACTCACGGGTGCAGGCACCCACCGTCCGTTCTTGGGCGCGCTGGCTCTGGACCCCCTCTGTCATTCTCCTGTTACGCTGACTCGCGAACCTCCGGGGCCCGTTCTACACCTATGGTCTCCCGCAGACGCCCCTCGACAGCGGTCGCGGAAGGACGCCGGCCTCGACGCACGAAACACGCTGCGTCCTTTCACCGTCTCGGGGAAACCAGGAATCGCTCCTCCTTTCATCGAAAACAACCCTGACATGTCAAACCATCTGGAGGAGAGATGACGGGCCTGTTTTCTGAGTTCTCTCCTGGGACCGTCTCCTCCGGGACCTGATGCGCGAGGCCCACACTCCCAATGTCTACATACACGTCACAAGTCGAGCTCACGAACTGTTGAGTGCAGCACGTTCGCTCCTTGACAAAGGCACCGTCCTGCAGCAGTCAGCGCAGGCTGCGTAACAAGTACCACGGACGCTTATTTCTCAGCCCCGGAGGCTGGAAGTCCCAGATCGAGGTGCCGGCGGGATGGTTTCTGGCGAGGCCTCGTGGCTGCTGATAGCAGCCTCTTCGGCAGGTGTCACTGGCCTTTCCTGAGTGTGCGCCCCTGGGTTCCCTTGTCTTCACAGGGCACCCGTCCTATCAGATTAACGACCTCATTTAACTCGACTTCCCAAAGCCTCTATCTCTACAAGAGTCGCACTGGGGGTTAGGGCACAACATACGGATTTGGGGGACACAAGTCAGTCCGTGAATACTTTCCAATTACCCGGAAGGCCAGGTGTGACTTCGAGAATTCACAGACCCCTCGGATTCCGCTCCACTGTTCTTCCCCGTCCCTGCTCATCACATCGCTGAGGAGCCTTGCGCACCTCGGTCTGCACATCCAAGCTCTGCCCCACTGTGCCCCGTGAACAGCCACCCACGGATCTCTCCTTCGAACACAGGAGTGCACACAGTAGCTGGCTGGTGTCCCTAGGAAGGATGGACCTTGGGAAGAGGTCCACGTGGGACGGATTGTGGAAAAAGGTCCACGTGGGACGTGTCATGGGAAGAGGTCCACGTGGGACATGTCATGGGAAGAGGTCCGTGTGGGA